CATTTCGCGGTTAAACCTCTCCAAGGGGTTGTTAGTGCGAGCAACTACCGAGTTCGCGATGCCGAAAACATCCCACTCCGTAATAAAATACCGTTCCAGCCAGGTTTTACGAAAGTACAGCCAGAACCTACGCCATTCTTGGGCGGAATACACGCATCCTTTGTCGGCACACTTCCGTTTAATCCTTGTTTAACCCATCTAATACCCTTTGGGTCGACGAGGTCTGAATCAGTAACAGTGAGAATGTCATGTACGCCAGGCTCCATAGCAATTAAAATCTCGTCCTCCGTAAGACGTTCTTTCTTCATTCGTCTACTTATTGCCTGTTTAAAGGTGAAGAAGCATTCTACTACCTCGGCGTTGGTGAATTGACTTTGAACGGCTGAAATTAGGCTGAACTCGAAATCACAGACACCTTCAGCAGGAGACATCTTTTGTCGGTGTCGCGGTGTATTAGGTGCAAGATGTCCTCGTACATTGTCTCAGTATTGGATGTACAGAGTACGAAATACACCGGAGTGTACATATTCCGAGCCGGATCATCCACCATAACGATCAGACACTGATAGAAGCCCCTAGGGACACATCTAAAAGTACAGTCAATAAAAGAGAAACACTGTTGTAAAGTAGAAGTTCCTTCTGGGCAGGGTGGGCCCACTCCAGTGTAAGGTTGGGTGGCGCATTTGGTTCCGGATGGGCAGTCACGAAATGGAAACAGAAAAACGGGATCGCAGAGTCCTTAACCTTGGAGCACGGCGGTACCTCAACTACTCCATGAATGTCTCCACCGCATTATCTGCGGCGAACCCGACGGACACGGCTTTTAACTTGCTCCTCAGTCAACCCTTCGATAAGCTCTTAGCGGTTGGGCCCATAGAACTCAGAACAAATATGCTCCCAAATGGCATCCTCAGGCATCCCAGGATTCTCCGTTGCGAGACGATCGGTTATCTTCTTCATAGCACCGGTCTCATTCCTTAACGACCCGTTGACTATTATAGTTTTTACGACAGTTGTGGTCACTTACCACGCGCCATTCACCGCGGGGCGTTATCTTTAACACTCCGTGGCAGCGTGACGTACGGTACGTACTACACCGGTACACAACATTCTTTGTTGACGCCCACGACTTCGTATATTTGAAACACTTGTAGATCTAGATCGTTTTCGAGCCGCGCTTCTTCTTGACGCGCAAGACGGATTGACTCTGTGTAGAAGACGGTTGGTTATTGCCCTCAGAGGTGGTGCTGTCGACGGTGGTGATGCTGATGGACGCTTGAGGAGGTGAAGTGTGTAGGCGCTCGGCACCATGGCTTGTACTAGCTCCCACGTTATGGCTATGGACGCGCTTTTTCTTACGTCGATCCTGTGTATTCTGACATGTCAGACCTTGGGTGAGTGTGATGAGTTCTGCCTGACAAGAAGTGGCTCACTCGCTTCCCTCGTATGGACACAAGATCCAACAGAAATGGCAGTGGTCTTCTTGTAGTCCCTAGAATCCGGTACATTTCTTCAGTCTTTAACCCGAAAATTGTATTGGTTCCGTTCATTGATCAGAACATGCAAGACAACGCCAAAAACAAGCTCCGTTCATAGATCAGAATATGCAAGACAACTCCTAAAACAAGCTTCGTTCATAGATCCGGTCAGAGCGAAATACGGTCAGTAAAAAAAGTCAACCAGGTCCTTTGATGTCGCTACCAATATCATATCCAAACTTGTCAATAGGACCGTCAGCACCAGTATCCTTCTTGGACTGATT